GCAATGGAAAAATAAACAATCTCAGTTAAGTTTGCACATGGCCTACCATACTCCTTCAGTAGGAAAAGTCTGAATTTTGTGAAATATCTTTGGAATGCCACTGTAATGTAAATCACAAAGCACTGACACCACAGTACAAGTTAAAGTGTAACCTGCAGTTTTCCCCAAGAGAATACACAGAATTTATATCACCAGAAATGGAAAGCAACAGAACTAAAATAAAAGCTTAGCAAAAAAAAGTAGGTTAACTCATATAGAGAATGATACATAAGACAAAGCTGAAAAAGAAAGCAAGGCAGGTATTTTTGGAAATATTTTGAAGTCTCTTTAAAGCCCTGCCTACTTCCCTGTGAAGTACTTCTGCTTAAAACATAGATATGCTAATGTTCATATTGAAGATAGCAATGATTGGGCTGAAAGAACTCCTCTTTGGAAGAGCAAAGGAAGAAAGACTGTGCACCATCAGCAGCTGGTTCTGAGCATTTTCAGACTTATCCTGGGGAGAGTTAAGGAATCACAGAATCATTAGGGGTGAAGGGGTGTCTGGAGGTCATCTAGTTCAGCTCCAGGGAAATGGATGTTTGAGAGGAAAAGTTGCATTCTGGATAAATTGATGAAACCTTTGAATCTGAGAAGCCTCCAAAACTCCAATTATTTTGTGTTAAAGGGGGCAGAAGAAGTGCTGCTGCAGCAATTCCCTGGATGAGGTGGTTGGTGCAGTACCCAAGGGCATCCAACACTGCCCAGAACCTTGGGACAGTGGCACTACCTGCATTCCATGGAAATGATTATTGCTTCCAGCAGGTTTAGAAGTGTTAATTCTCTTTTTCACCTAGAAGTTCATAGTTTTCTTAATTACCAGGATCTGAACTGCATGCAGGTTTCTTTTTTTTGGTTTGGGATTTTTTTTTTGTTTGGAAGAATGGGAGTGTGTTTCTTGCCAAGGCCACATTGCATAATAACAGACCGGAGAAAAATGAAAGGACCCAGTATGAAAAATACAATGCAATTATCACCAACTGAGCAGCTGATAAAAGAAATGACAGAGTAAAATACACAAGTTCCACATGATGGAAATTCAGGGAAAGTGAATTTGTTACAAATATTGAGCAAATGAAAAGAGCAGATCTCACCATAAGCAAGGCCTCTCACCTCCCAGCCACTAAAAATTTCCTCCTCCTGCAATAAGCAATCTGCCATCCCATCACAAAAGGAGCCCCAGCAGCAGAGCTGCTTGGATGGAACTTACAGTAGCATGGCCAAAATGAAGAGCAGGAGCCCCACACAATTACAAGATAACTTTTCCATTTCGTCCTATTTATTTGAAATTTCCAGCCATCACACCAGCATGAATTCAAGCAAACACAGCATCAGCTGCCTTTTATCAGCTAAACTGACAAGAACAGAATTTTTAAGACACTTGTGATGGGCATATTTCAGAGATAAATCTAAGTGAAAACAGAGACTACTGCAAGCATGAAAAATCTGAACTGCCTTCTGGAAAGAAGTGCATACAGGGACATGGAATAAATATTATTAAGCTATTGTTGCTTAGTCTGTCAATGTTTCCATTTTGAATCAGCCTTCAGCCATTAAAACCTCAGCTGGAAAAGTCTGGTTGAACCTGACAAATGAACAAGCCAGGTCTTGGGAAGAAAAAAAAGTTGTTTTTCCTTAACCTCAAACACATCCTGACTTCTGTGTCTTCAGCTTTTTTTGAGATAAATATCCTCAATTTTGCATCTTTCTTTTGTACACGTGTAATTGCAGTTCAAATGTTTCCCTATCTGTTCCCTGTTGTACCCTGAGAGGGAAGCAGCTTTCTGCAGGGGAGCACACCCAGCACAGTCCTCTGTGCCCAGAGCTTCTCCAAACTGCAAGCACACAGAAACTGATACAGCACTTGGAATCTGGAAAAATGTTCAGGAATGCACAAAGGAAATGCACTATATAAATGTAAGATCATTAAAAGAATGTTATTATGGCTATTACCCTAAAAATCCATCTAAGCCAGTAGCCCCTGCCTGTCCCTGCAGGTACCTCGCTTTGTCTGCAGCTCACATGGATCACAACAGGCTCCTCTTCAGTGCCAATATTTTCTGCTCTTTCCTTGTTCTTTGTGCCAAGCCAAAGAGAAGCAACAAAGGCTGGTGGTGTTCCTGGTGGTGCTTCTGCAGGAGGCAGTGGGCAGTCTCCTTTCATGCACACAGACTTGTGCTCTGTACAGTGAGGGAACGTCTGCAAACATGTTCCTGGTGCAGCTTTCTCAATGGAAAGCATCCCAAAGAACATGTGTGGGTCCTGTGTGAGGGACAGCAGCCTGACAGGGGCCTCAGAAAAAACCTCTGTCTGGCAGCAGAGCCAGGCAGGCTGAGGTGTGTGAGCTGCCCACAGCCTCCTATTATTCCTGGGAAGGTGGTGACTTCCTCTTCATTGAATCTTTCCCCTTACTCTGCTCTTCCTTCCTGATGATAAATGCAGTTTTTATTTTTCCAACCAATTCAACATTACTTTTAGAAATTTTATCAGTCATTCAGACTTCAGTCAGTGAGTCAAGCGGAAAAAATGTGTTCCCAAGCTGAGAGAAAACCCTCCCATGTAAAATCCCTGAGCCAAGAGCACCTCCCAGGCAACATCCTCCAGCTGTTCTCAGAGACAGAAAGAATATGTGCACTCCATCAGTTCCCACCTAGGCCACTCCAGAGCATCTCCAGCAGGAAGGAGATCTGTCTGCCCACAGCAGCAACCCCTGGCTCTTCCCAGGCCTCATCCCACCCAGCTCTTTCCTCCACTACAAGAACCTCTTCATGTTCAGCTGATTAACATCTTCCTGTGCCAGCAGAGGAATCTATCCCATAGCATTGTTCTCCCTGTTTCTGGGCTCTGATTGTCCTTTTATCAGCTAAATAATAGCAATTTGAATGCAGAAACAATTATGGGAACCTATTTGCTCAGCTGAAGTCCTTATCCCTGGCAGATTTAGAGTTAGTGCTGTTTTGTCAAAAGCTGAATGCATGAAGAAGTTGCTCTGCCAGGCAGGGATGTACAAGGGAACAGACAAAACATCACCTTCCAGTTTTCTAGGAATGTTTCCTCTGATGATGGTGGTTGGAACCTGTTTGTATCCTCTTTTGACCACCTACATACAAACAAGCCAAGGTGGTACATTTTCCTCAGTAAGAATGGGCAAGAGTTTGTGACTAGGACTGCTTTGTAACTTGTGCTGCTCATATTTCTGGCTCTGAAGTGCCCTACAGAAACCAAACATCCCACTGAAGTGCTCCAGCACCAAAACTTTTGCAAAACAGACATGAGAGCTGGAACTGTCTTTTTCTTGTTCTCATTAGACATGTGAGTGAATCAGATCTGAGGATCTGTGCACACCTTCAAAGAGAAAGGACTGCAGGGCTACAGGGAACAACAGAGAAAAGGCATTAACGAGAGTACAGTAAATCTGAAAACTAGAAAGAAGAAAAACATTTTTCTTTTAAGTTCTTTTTGAGCTTTATTTGTCACCACTGCAGATGGAATCTGCAAGCCCTCCCTTCCTGCCAATGCAGCAGAAGACACTGACACAGTATAGAAACAACTCTGGCAACAAACCAGACAGCTCCTGAAGAGGGGAACTCGCTGAGGGAGGAACCTGGCAGCCTCCTGAGCACCTGATGCACTGCCTGAGCTCTCAGCTCTTGGCTGGGAGGCTCCCAAGTGCTGGTCTGTGCTCTCACAAGAGACATAGGAGCTCAGTGTGGATTTCAGACAGACTTGCTACATTAATGCTGACCATTTTCTGAAATCTCACCCTTAACCTCACAGAAATTAGGACAGAATTCTTCTGGGGCACTGACTGTTCTCTCACTGAAGTTCTAACACAGACTATGCTACAGGGCTGGAATGAATACCTCACCTGGACTGGTAAATAAGAACAGGGATATTTGTGAGGCTCAGAAATGCAGGTCTAATTTTTCTACCATCAGTCACAGAGAAATACTGTCAGATCTGTTCACTCTCCCTCTAAAAAAAGAGGGTAGAATAAGAAAGAAGCATTTCAAACAAGACCACAGCACACAACAGATTTCCTTTGTTTTATTCATAACAAATGAAAGGAATGTGGTGGGATGTCAATTTTGATATATGCAGTTACATCACAGTTTTCAAACTAAGGCAGATTCCATTGAGCTGGGGTTTAGCGAGGCTTTGAAGAGAGCACAAACACCTCCTTTCACTCTCTTGCCTCAAAAGACATGGAAACATCATCTTGGTGTGGTATTAAGGATGTGGTAATTCCCCTCTACTCTTTTAAAAGATTCTGTTTTTAGTGGCCAGTTCTACATTGTTACAAAGGCACAGAGCCCAAAATGGGATAGCCAGACAGAGCTGGGGGTGTCTTTCTGCTCACAATTTAACTTGAAAAAGTAGCACAGTTTTGTATTCCTGACTAGTAAACTGACCTTAGGAAGACAGGCATAGAAATATTCAGGTGTTTAATACCCAGCTATGAATGGCAGAGAAAAAGATAGGCAAAATAAGAAGAGTAAAGAAAAGAAGAAAATGGAAAAATATTTTTGAGGAAATATTGAATGTCAGCAGATAAAAGTGAACTTCCTAGTGTGCCATATAAGCATGTCTTTCCACAGGTTTCAGGAGTCACACCAAGTACTTAAAATATAACAAAAAAACAGGGACAGAGCTACTTCTACAACCTGTTCCAAAGTGCAGTGTGCTGGGCATTAGGTAGGAAGACAGTCAGTAATGGATAAAAATATTTTTGTTTTTCAAAGATGAAGACATGGGATGAACCCACAGGAAGAAATTTCCACTACAGAATAAAGCACCAGATACTAACTTTTTGCTAATGAATGAAGCTCACAAAATCACATGTTTGGCTCTTGTAAGATTTCTCTATTTAAACTCTGGTAGTAGTAAAACAAGATCATTCACAATCCAAATTATCCTACAGTACTGTACTAGAAATCAGAAGATGACAGAAAACAAGTTACCACTTAAGTGTGAGGCACTGAATCCATTCTCATGTCAATGGCTGGCTTGGCAAAACCTCCTGCAGCCACTGGTCATAAATCCTGCTGAAAATTTCAAAGCTTCTGACTTGTCCAGACAAATTTGCTTCACCCCCTTCTCTTCATGACTGCTGGTCAGTGCAGGAACATTTTCTGTGAAAGACAGACAAGAAGATTATTTCAAACAAATTTCAAATCTGATTTATTTTAAATTTTCCTTCAGGAGTGACCTCCTGATATCTTAAATGCTGCATGAGCTGAGTAAAAACACAGTTGAATTCTTTCCAGCATTCTGGCTGCATAGCTGGCACTCCAGACTTTTGTCCTTAACATTCCCATTTCTTTCCCATTCCCCAGGAGCACACTGCTGCAGACTTCCTTTAACTTTATCTGCCCAAGAGCCATGTTGCAGCTCTGCCATGAAGATGGGTTGGAGGCACAGGCTGAGGAACAGCCTGTAGAACCACTGGAAGAAATAAGGACTTTTCCCGGAAAAAGGAGCAGAACTGTTTGGAGCTATTCAAGGAGACAGCACTGTCCAGTTCTCCTGGGGTTTTGTTTGTGGGGTTGGTTTTTTCTCCTCCTCTGGTATTCTGCTTCTTGTGACTTCAAGGGGGAACACATTTGTGGGTGACAAAGTTGGCAGAAAGAAAGCAAACACAAATTAATTATGTAACAGAAGCCGCATATAACAAGGAGCAAAGCACTTCACTGTGCAAAGCAAACACAGCCTGGTGAGGGCACAGACTGAGCAGCACAACCAGAGTGCCTTGACAACGATTATCACCACAAAAGGACTTTTTAGGACATTTGAAAGTAAGGTTCTGAAAAGCTCTGCAGATGAGTAGCAACAAGTGAGAAAAATAAGAATGATCATAAGAGAAAACACACATGATGTGTTTGAAAATGGACTTAATGAGAAGGGGAATACCCTTGCATTGAAGGTACGTAAGGGAATAGCCACCAAATCAGACTTCAACTTGTGGCTCATTGTCTAAATAGAGATATTAGAGATGAGTCAAAAGCTTACTCTGGATGGAGAAGATTGAATCTTCTCCTAACCCGAGTGTTACCAACCAATTTGCTTTTGCAGATGGGATTAGCCAGAAATGGGATGCAGAAGAAAAGGAATGAGAACTGAGCCCTGCAAAGCCTCCAGAAGGAATGTTAAGGGAACACCACAATCCTTCATAGCTCTGAGAACCTCATGCAGCAGCAAAATTTTTCTTTGCATATTACCAAGTTCTTTGAAATAGACAAAAGAGCCCTGAAGAAAAGAGAAATCAGCCAACACTTTGTGGCATGGAATGGCTGCACTGGAAGATTATTTAGTCTCAGCATAAGGAGATGTTGTTTGTGTAAAATTTTAGCCCCTTCCAAAATGTCTTTTTTGCTCGCTGGAAGAACAAGAGACTGGGAACTTTGTGGATTCAGGCAGGATGCTGCAGTTCAAGTAGCTGGCCAGGGGAGGAGGAGGGGGGTGGATTTTTCCTCCTGTAGTGCCCACCAGCCTGCAAAACCTGTTCCCAAACTGTGGGCACTTTTGGGCATGTCTACATAGGGAACACCAAACCAGGAAACATTGCCAGAGCTGTAGCTATATAATAAAATATCAACAGTTAAGTTACACTAATTTTGAAATTTTAGCTGCATGCAGGTGTTTGTACTTCTGCCCTAAAATTCTGCAGGCTTTGCCCAGCACTACAAAGGGCTCTCCTTGCCATTTGCCTTCACTTGTGGAGCTGCACTCCAACAGCTCTGGCACAGCTGGAGATGGCAGAGACTTACTGCCACAGCTGGATATAAATCTGGTGTCCCTGTGGCTTGTGAGGATCACTGAGGTGTTTTATAGGTGCCACAGAAAACATTTTGTCTCCAACATCAGCATAGTGCACATTTAATGGTAGCTAAGGCAACAGGTGGCACAGAGATCACAGATACAGCTTTCATTGTACTCACAAACAGCACAGGGACTTGAAAAACACAATCTACCACTCAAAAAGAAATTACTGAAACCACTCCATATTCACTTCTGCGCCAGTGCCTGGTACTACAGATTAATTTAAAACATTCAAATTAATTAATGAATATGATGTGCAATCCTTTTAAGCCGCTGCTCCAAAGAGGCAATTCACATGGATGGAGTGAATGCTGTTGCAGATGAGTCCCTCCCCACTCCCCTTGGCTTTCCCTGGAGGCTGGGGCAGGAGAGGTCCCGTGTGAAGAGCTGCAGTGTGACTTGATCCCCTCCGCTGTCCTCGCAGCACAAAGGGCAGGAATGCTCAAGAAATGAATCACAAACCCTTCCTGCAAGCATCTCACAAACCATTTCTGCAAACATCTCACAAACCCTTCCTGCAAGCATCTCACAAACCATTTCTGCAAGCATCTCACAAACCATTCCTGCAAATATCTCACAAACCCTTCCTGCAAGCATCTCACAAACCCTTCCTGCAAGCATCTCACAAACCCTTCCTGCAAGCATCCTGGCCCTCAGCAGCTGCTGGGCTGGAGCAGCTCCCAGCCTGTCAGGCTGAGTGACAGCCAGGGGTAAAGGGGCTCCTCCTCACAAGATCAGGAACAGGAAGGCTGTTTCAAACCCCTCCATCTGAATTATGATTGCTGACTGTGTAAGAAGGCAAAAATGGAAGCAAACCCACAAGGAAACAAAGCTTCATTTGGGAAAGGTTTTTCCTATTCATTATGAGTGCAAGTGAATTTTTCCTCAGCTGTGAACAACTGGTGATGCTTTAGTGTTCAGTACATGTCCTGATTTTATCATAAAAACTCATCCTGGCCTTCAGCTGGCTGTCAGATTTGCCAAGCTGGTAGGATTTTGGCAACACTTGTGCTGTTTAATGTCTCAGCATGTCGTATCTTGGACACAAACCCCTGCAAAATACCTAACTACAAATATTTATGTTCGTTATCCTTTCTGCATGATACAGTAAAGAGAGGGGAAACAGATTCTTTCCAAATTGACTGAATCAGAGAAGCATGACAACACCACAGGGTCACTGTCCATGAGCAAAGCATTCCATTAAACCCCGGGCTCCCCTTGGGTGCAATCCCCCAGCCCCTGCACACCGTGAGCATGGCAGCTTTGCCCAGGAGGCTGCAGGGAGCACCTGGCACAGCAAACTCTGCCCCAGGAGCTCCAGGCCCTGGGCAGCGTGGGGGACATGGCTGGGGGCTGCTGCTGAGCTCCTGAGGCCACTCAGGTGGTGGCATTTAGAGGTGGCATTACACAGCCATTGACCAGGAGAGATGTGCTCTGCTTTCAGAGCAATAACTTCTTGGGCACAGAAATGCTGCACACAGAAGATATCCATTGTAGGAATAGATAGGGAAAGGGAATGCATAGTACAGGGAATGTGCAGCCCCCGACAGATATGTTTTTAATACAAATTCATAGAGGTACACAAGAGACTCCAAAAAAGTTTAAAAGTCAGAACTTCTGATACTTTAAAAAATATTAAATACGTGATGACTGTTTAAAATAGAACTGATTCACGGAGAGAAAGGAAGTACTTAATGACTTGCTCATGCTTAAGGACTCTTAAATAAAACAAGGATCTGTTACTCATGCGTTTGAAGGATTTGCTACTCCCAAACTACTGATTTGAAAAGCTTTTGACACAGCAAGATGAAGACACATCCCCAAGGGCTGCTGTGTGAGCTGAAAGCCTGTGTGCTCTCAAACACTCTTCCTTTCATTGAAGAAGGGAAAGATTAGCAAGAGGAAGAAAAGAAAAAAAGAATTGTTTTGGCTTTGGAAATGGTGTCAATAACATTTTCAGGCCCGAAGAACCACCAAAGAACCCCAAATTATCATGTCAAGAAGTAGTGATTGAATTTGAGATCATCAGAGGCTATCCAGGCCCTCAGCTGCATCTCTCCTACTGCAATTTTATTCATTAATTGTTGGCCTAATATTACAGACCCAATACCATTTAATAAGAGAAGAAAATTAGCAGAAAAGACAGAAATTACAACTAGTCACCCTCCATCCTTATGAATGAATCATGTAGTACAAACTTCAAACATGGGGTTTATCAAGGCTTGGCCAAAATGCAATTTTGGCTAAGGGACAGAGGCAGGAACAGTGAAGCAACAGAAGCCTCTGCTCCATTTTTACTGCTCTGTGCTCCAACAATCACAATTTCTTCTCTCAACAGCTACTGAAAACCTAGACTTTTACTGCTATTTCATGTTCCTAAAAGCCCTATGAATAGCTGAATGGGGCTTTCCAGAGGAGGGCTCTTGGCACAGCCACACCAGCTCAGGTAGCAGCGTGGACACAGGGAGAAGGAAAAGCTGGCAGCACCGTGGCAACAGGAAAAACTGAGAGCAACAATAAACTGCTCCCAATGCCAAAGCCTCAAATGACTGTTTATGCAACTTTCTTTCACAAACTAACCCCAAAACTTCCACTGGGATTGCAATTTGCATTTCAACCCTCTCTCCCCCCGCCCCCATTTGCTGTTTGCCCAGTTTTATTAGAACCATCTGCAAGATCCTCCCCTTCCAGTTTCTTGTGTTGGTTCATCTGGCAGCTGCACTTTCTCATCTATTCAAAAAAATCTTTGTTTCAAAGTTATTGAGACAGAAGGTCTTTGACAGGCTAAAAATTATCTTGAAAATCAACACAGGAGCCACATCAGATGCTGTTCTTTACAGATTGAAGGGGAAGAATGGAAGCTGGAATATATATATATTCATATATATATATATATATATATATTTAATGGGAAGATAAGTGAGGGTTTTGGGATCAAGAAAAATTTTACCAACTCTATTTATCTGACAAAAGCCACAATTTACTGAAGCACTGCAAGTTGCCACTGCAGAAGAGTTTCAGGCTCACCATTATTGACAGAAACAAGAGAAATGCAGAGAAGTATCTCCTTACAGCAGCTCTTGGCAAAAGATAAGCGAGGGGAGTGCAAAGGGAAGGAGGAATGTTGGTGAAGTAAGTAATAGGGTTTGAATAATTTTCTTTAAGCGTGATACGAGTATTACAAGTTTTTGAATACAACATGCTTTGCAATCCCCTTCATTAGCTGGTGCACGGTGCTGCTTGAGTTCCCATCTTTCTCTGTAACCCTCCTAAAGATCCTTGCTCCCTTCTGTGGACAGATATCCCTGCTGTC